GATGTCCTTTATATTTTCTATTTTATTGAAGTATAAGTTTTCAAAATTGTTTCTAATCATCTTCTGCATTTCAGCCATGTCTGTTGTGATATTTACTTTATTTAAATCTGAATACCATGAGTGAATAAGGTGTTGACTTTGTGCAAGCTATTTTTTGTTTTTATTTCTAGAATTATTGCTTATGGGAGTAGCTAAAAAAATGGAGGAAATTATCTGAGTAGTTCTAAAGGACAAATGAATCTTTTCCCCTTCAAACTAATGTGGATTTATTAAGAAATCACATTAGAGTTTTGAAACTGACCTAAATAATCAAGTGGATGGGTCCCTATTTACTAAGAAGTCATGCACAGTTTTTTTATATAGTAACTTCTTTTTTGTTTATTTGTTTGTTTTTGATACCAAAGATTGAACTCAGGGGCACTCAACCACTGAGCCACATCCCCAGCCCTATTTTGTATTTTATTTAGAGACAGGGTCTCACTGAGTTGCTTAGCACCTCTCTTTTGCTGAGGCTGGCATTGAACTCACAATTCTCCTGCTTCAGCCTCCCAAGCTGTTGGGATTACAGATGTGTTCCACCTTGCCCAGCTATATATTAATTTTTAATCTGGAAGGAATCACCAGTGGACTATGAGTCACTAAAAATTCATTTTGGCAATACAAGTTTGCTGACAAAAAGTTTGCTAACATGCACCTTTTGAGTGCTTCAATGAGTTTGTTATTTAGTTAAGTACCATGCACAGTAAAAAAAGATGAACAGGTACTTGATTTCAAGTACAATTTGATTATGTATCTTGCTCACAATTACGTCCTTTTTTGATTAAAAATAAAGATATTTAACTAGTAAGGAAAACATGAAAAAAACTTTGAATGATGTGAGATGTTTAAAGAAGGATATAAAATTATTTTTCAAAGATATCTCCAACTTAGACTTACTATATTATGATTAGTCTTTGAAATCAAGTCCTGTACAATAAAAAAGTCATTCCTAAAGTTTATCATTTTCAGGAAACATCATTAAAATCTCTTTCTTTCCTTTTCCCTTGCTTCACTGAAATTAGTAGTTGAAAATGGCCTCTGAAGGTGTGAAAGTTATACCTGGCTGTGGAGAAAATTTTGAGTTCAGTGAATTCTGGTCTTAGGAACTTTGATTATATTTTTATTGTTTGATCCCCTTTATGAGATCTTCTCTGGAAGTTCTACAATGTCCAAACTACCACCTATGAATGAAAACATAAATGGCAAATGAACACATTACAAGGGAAGAGCATACATTTTAGCAAGATAAAATATTAACATAAAGGAATTAAACTGGCTGTCAAATAATTCTGTGTATTTTTACTATTAATATGATTAACCTGAAGAAAATATTTTAGCCACTATGAAAAGATAACCACTTACAAAAATTTAATAGTTAGTATTCAGACCTTTTTTATTTTATCCATCTCTGTGCTGTTTTATACCAGTTTGCTGAATCTCCATAACAATAGTTACTTGAAGGAATTACCCAAGGACATAAAACTTTTGATTATTTATATCATAAAATATGGTATAAATGAAATATCTGTTCTCTCCCCTTTTAGGAACTGCCTGCTTGAATGATTTAATCATGGATCTGAGAAGGAAGATAAAAAGCTCAATATCAGTTATACTGTATGGAATTAAAAACTGGAGTTCTTGTATTGAGTTTGTGTTATAAATTTTCCATTGCCATAAAGTTTATCTCATATTGTACTTTGCATCTTTCTTGTTTAATAATATCTAATGTGTATTCACTCATTATAAAAATAATAGTCACTGAATAAGATTTATAAAAGCAGAACACATTTGTATAATGAAAATCATTAATAATCTCAAACCTAGAGATAATTCTAATTAATATTTTTGTTCTGTATTTTCTTATGCTTTGTATATACATATTTCAATGATAATAGAAAAATACTTTATATTTTATACTATGCCTATTTTATGTAATATTATGAGGATCATGAAAAAGTAATACGTATTTAAAATTAATTTTAGTGACACAAAAATAAATAGATAAAACAAAATATGTTCAGTATTCTTTATTCTGAAATAATATTAATTATTCTCACTTTCATTAATATACCAATTGTGCATCTCCTAGAAGGTGAGTAATTATACGCATCTGATTATATATGAAAATAACTTATTTAAGAGAAATTTCAAGATAAATTATAATATTAAAATTGGAATTTCTTTACACTTACAATTTTTGCTGATGTTTCAAACTTTGTTATAAAAGATCTTATTTATATAATAATTTTTTGATATTGTGCCTTTGGTAACTGTTCATTTTATGAACTAAGGTTTTTTAATAATTGAATTGCAGAATAGTAATTATTTCTAAATTATGTTAAAGTGTCTCATTATTCCTAACATTTTTACTTATCATTTGACTTTATGATTTTATTGTGATGTGTAGTAAGCCAGCTTACTGTTCTGTCCAAGATAACATTCTATTTTGCTTAATGTACTTTCTCATCTCCTTAAAATAGTGACCTTAAATTCAGGCATGCAGATAAAATGGAGGTGATCCATTTTATCCATCATTTTACCATATAATATCCAAGGTTTAAATAAAATGTTACTAAATGCTTGTTTAAATATTCACACAGTGCAGTTTTGTCTGTCTCGACCCCTCGCCAGCCAGGGAAACACGACACAGGATTCTTCTTTCAGCAGTTTATTCAGGCCTTGAGTCATGTATCATTCTTCTAGCTCCCGCGCCCGACACGCCCAAGCACAGCTTAATAAAGCCCCCCGCATCCCAATCCTAAACCGCCACGTGGATCTCTCTCATAGGGTGGTAAGGGATTGCGCGCCAACTCTCCATAAAAGGAGTTGTTTATCACAGGCCACAGTGGAAGCCGGCACCATCTTCTAATGGTGGCCACGGTCTATAAGAATGGCTTACCACATTTGTCCATTCATCCTGGTGGCTACATACAATAGTAGTTAAAAGCACAGGATTTTAATTGAAGCAGACCAAGAGTAGGCTTGTTCTGCCACTTACTACCTATACCATTGCAAGGCAAGTTATTTAACATTTCTGAAATTCAGCATTATTGTCTATAAAATGGATATGACTAATGAATTTATTTATTTATTTATTTATTTAGAATGAGAATTTTAATATTTATTCTTCAGTTTTCAGCAGACACAACATCTTTGTATATGGTGCTGAGGATCGAACCTGGGCCGCATGCATGCCAGGTGAGTGCACTACCTCTTGAGCCACATCCCCATCCCGACTAATGAATTTATGTGGATTAAATGAAATGGGAAAGGCACTTAGAGACAAATACATGTTCTCATATGTTCCATCTGAAAGAGTTGATCGCATAGAACTACAGAACAAAATAGAAATTACCAAGAGCTGGAGCAGTTGAGGGAAGGGATTGGAGAGATGATGTTCAAAGATACAAAATTTCAGTTAGGTAGGAGCAATAAATCCAAGAGATCTATTGTATAACATGGTGACTACAATTAATAAAGATATATTTAAATCTTGAAAAATGCCAACAGAGTTGATGTAGTGTTCTCATCACAAAAAATGACAATTACTTGAGATCATACAAATGTTATTAAATTCAGTTATTCTATTATATGTAGTATAGTGCAGAATTTTATATATATATCACTTTTTTCTATGTAACATACAATTCTATGCCAATTAAAAATAAAATAATAATAAAATAGATTGGATTTCCTTAGAAATGTCCAAAATTTTGCCATAAGAATGAAAAGAATTGCATATGATTTTATCATAAAAACAAATGACAATTGTATTAAAAGGAAATAATACATATATAGTACTTATAAAAGCCCTTCATTATGAATCTTTTTATGAATAATAATGATTAATACTGTTGAAGAGTAATATTTATTTTTATGTCATGCATTTTACATAGTTGAAAGTTTAAATAAAACATTCTTACTTGAATTGTTTTACATGTAAGCAAAATGAAACATACAGATAGTACATGTACAGATGTGTGTGTGCACATGATAATATATTTGGTAATTGTCAGATGCAAGACAAACAACAGAGAATTTTTAAATACATTATTCAGAGCTTTTCCACTTTCCTATGGAAAATCTATTATGTAAGCATACTTCCCAGAAAACAGAAACTTATATGGCAAAGAAGCTTAATTATAAGAGAGCCTAGTTTTAGAATTTTTCTACTTGGAAGTATGGCTAACCATGTAATACTGATACAACCTATGGAAATCCCCATTGCTTTTGTAGTTTTTGTTATTTGATATAAATATATTATTTCTTTTAAATATAGATGTGCTTTTTTATCTAAGCAAAGTAAGTGGAACATTTTATGCTATTAGTCTTAGGCATGTTTACTCCTACTAATGTAATTATCTCTTGGGTAAATATCATCATATATTAATTTCATTAGTGTATTGCCTCACATCCTTGAAGTTTTATCCATTTAAATTTAATTACAGTAAGCAGAAAGGATAAATACACTAAGAAGGAAGGATAATTTGCTTTCATTGACAGTGCCTTGGATGGACAGTAATTTTCATCTTCCATAATACAAAACCATTCAAATGTCAGAAGAAAATAAATTGAACTAAAAGGAAAAACATTAGAAAACATATTGAATAGACTTAATGAAGCTCCTATGAGGTTTCCACTTTCTTCAATCTTTCCAATATCTTTTATAACAAATATCTTGTAATACATCTAAACTATGTGTATTCTTATAAAACCTCTCTTCATGTGAAAAATCATGGATTAAATGCAATTGCTAAGATATAGATATACTGAACTGTTGATGCTATTTTTCTTACTGAGATAATGAAAAGAAATACATTAATGATTTTATTTGTCTCAACATCCCCTTTCCAGTTTTTCTATTGCATGCAGATTCACAAGCCAACTTTAAGTTCTAAGCACATAATAAACAGGATCTCAAAATTCTACCCTTGATGTTTCCAGCAAGTAGTGCCACAGCAATGAGAAGATTCAACAACACTTTCCATCACCTCAGTGGCTTTGTTCTAGTAGGTTTCTCTGAATGGCCCAAACTAGAAATGTTTCTTTTTGTGATCATCTCTACCTTCTATATATTGACCCTTCTTGGAAATTCAGCTATCATTTTCTTGCCCCACTTTGACACCAGACTCCACACCCCCATGTATTTCTTTCTGGCTAATATCTCCTTTTTGGACCTCTGCTATACAACTTCCACAGTCCCCGAGATGCTGATAAATATACACAATCACAAAAGAAGCATCAGCTACGTGGGATGTATAGCTCAACTTTTCATCTTCCTAGGTCTAGGATTTAGTGAATGTGTACTTCTCTCAGTAATGGCATTTGATCAATATGTAGCTATCTGCCAGCCTCTCCACTACACAGTTATCATGCATTCTTGGCTATGCCAACAACTAGCAACAGTGACTTGGATAATAGGTTTCAGCAACTCCTTGGTGCAAACAGTATTGACTTTCTTATTACCTCGCTGTGGCCAATATCGAGTAGAGAGTTTCTTCTGTGAGGTACCTGCCATGCTTCAATTATCATGTGTGGATACATGGATCAATGAGGTGGAGATGTATGTAGCTGTGATTGTCATAAAGGTTATTCCTGTTGGATTAATTCTTTTCTCTTGCATCAACATTTTCAGAGCAATAGTAAGGATTCAGTCTTCTGAAGGTCGAAAGAAGGCCTTCAACACATGTGGGTCTCATCTTCTGGTGGTCATCATGTTCTATGGCTCTGCCATTAGTGGTTATGCATATATGGCACCCAAGAGTAACTCGGCCAAATTGAAGGGCAAGCTTCTTGCACTCTTCTATGGACTCATAACTCCAATGCTCAATCCCCTTATCTACACTTTAAGAAATAAGGATGTTAAGAGAGCAATAAACAAGCTACTAGGGAGAGAACAAGAACAAGGGTGGAACATGGCTTAGGAGAATGCAGTCTTCTCACAATTCACACTCCACACTTCCACAATACCTACTGTTAATTGCCATCATTCATACCACCCCTCCAAATAGTGGTTGATGATGGCTGAATGAATATTCTCTCCCAGATATTAGAGCTATAAAAATAATGAAAATTCACAAATGTTAGATGCCACCTTCTGGTTAGTATATGTTGTCTTTTCTGGTGAAATTTTCAATTAATAAGCATATAACTTCTTATCCCACAACACATTAAGACTACTGGAAAAGGCAGTAATCCTGAGACTTTTAAAAAAAATCAGGAAGATGACTGCTTGAAATGAATAAATTAAGCCACAATGTAATGTACCGATAATCAAGCTGAAACTTCATTTCCTCTTTGTATATTTTTAGATTATTGGAAGCACAATATTTTTATATCTAATTTTATTTTAATCAACTTTTGGATGACATTCTCCATGAGTCAAGTGGATGCTATGGTCATCTACATTGTTCTGGAGAAAGAAGGGCACACACATAATAACTCTGTACAATGCTTCCAACTCATTTTTCATGTATCTGGTAGCTTTTGTAGCATATTTCTTTAACACTATATCTCAGTTTACAGAAGTTTTTCTTCATGGTTAAAACATGAAGAACACAAGTATATGTACATATTTCAGCAATGGCCTATTGATCTGAGAGACATCTTGCTGCCAAATCAGTGTGTATTTGATTCTTGGTGTTCAAACATTTTTGATCAGCATTATCATAGCTATTCTTAGCAGGCCAAATTGATATGGAATAATTATTTTTTTTCTCCAAACTTAGTGGCAAGAAATCCAATAGCTTCTGAGTTTTTCCCTGCACATGGGGCAGATATCCTTGATACCTCATTTTAAGGACTCTATTATGTATTTGTTGGTGGATGAATGGTCTGTATTTTGATAAAGGTGTTTGGACTTGACACAATTAAGAGTCTCCTGTATGCACTCTGAAAATGGTCCAAATATCTAAAAGAACATTCCTATTAGCAATATATCTCATTATGTTTGTATCACTTACTTTGTTATCTTCTTTTATAGGTTGGTGTGTACACATAGGAAATAGAAGGAAAAAAACAGAATGAATGTTCATCTAGGTGAGGTTACAATAGAAGAAGTGGAAAAGAGCATCCACTCTCAAAGATTGTAATGCAATAGATCATTTTATGAATGTGATATACACACCCTTTCCAGATATTTCTGGGCAGTGGATATGGAGCTCATTCCTCTCACAAAATATAGAAAATGAGCAGTTTGAATATATGATGAAAATTTATATCATTTTTCAAGTAATATGTACATAATCAGCTCTTCTTTCTCAATCCAACCCTCACAAATTTTAATACTATGAAAATAAAAATGCTATTGTGTTTTTTCTAACAGTATGTGTGCATACATATTTGTGTATCTATAATTTGGGGAAGATATAAAGGGATTGAAAAATCATGTTTCTAATAGTACAAAAATCCTAGTCCCAATTATTTCCAAGGAAAAATTTTAATATCTGTCTTTTCACAAGAATTTCTACAAATGTGGTGTTTGCTATTTAATGAAATAGATAGGTAATAGATTTGGTAATCATATTTAAACTTTTAAAATACACTGATGTATTCTGTATTTTATTTTTCTTAAGATAAAAGTTGATGTTCAAGTGAAAGGAGTTACTTTATGTTAATATTAATATTAAACTGGTAGCTGAGTTATTGGATAGACAGAACTAAAAAAAATGGAGAGTTCAATCTCCATTTGGAGACCTGATATTAAATCAATACAGAAAAATGAGTGCTACTAAACAGTGACTATTCTGATTAGTCATCCACTGTGATTTTCCTGTGTATCAGAAGCATGGAGTAAAATTTTAAATATCACAAGTGCATGCACAGACCATGAATTTTGGTGCCATTTCTTGGTAATATATAATAATTATAACTCTGGGAATTTTCCATTAAAATTTTTGTTTTCAATATTTTTCTGTTATTAGATATAAGTGGTTCCCTTTATCATATTAAGGAAGTTCCCTCTATTGTTAGTATGCTACATATATTTTAAACATTTTTTTTTTACTTTTTAAAAATCTATTTATCTTTAATTGATAAAAATGTATATATTTATGGTATAAATGTGATGTTTGATATATGTGTTCATTGTGGAATGATAAAATTAAGCTAATTGACATATATATATTACCACACATTTATCATTTGTGTATATTGAGAAAATTTAAAACATGCTCTCTAAGCAATTTCAAGTGTACAGTATATTCTTAACTATCATAATCATTATGTGCAATAAACATTTTGAATTTATTCATAATGTGTAACTGAAATTTTGTATCCTTAGACCAACAAAATCTTCCCCACTGTACTACCCACACCCATTACCCAGCCACTGATAACTATTATTCTGCTCTCCACTTGTATTAATTCAACTTTTTTTAGATTCTACATAAAATGAGATTATAAAGAACTGGTCTTTCTTGTTTAACTTTACATCCCACAGGCTCATGTCACAATGATAGAATTTCATCTTTTAACAGGGTTTAATAGTACCCTAACATGTATGTATAGCACAATTTTTAACTATTCACAAAATGATGAGACAATTAGGTTGAAATGGCATTTTTAAAAGACTTTTACTAAATATATTGAAATGGTCATAGTATTTACCTTTTATTTTTTAATAAGACAGTTATATAGTTCAAGGTAACAATAAGACATTCTATTTGGGTATAATCTGCTAATCATAGAAAATAATGAAACAAAATAAAAAGAATCACATGGATCTATTTTTTTTAAAATCACAATGGTGAAAAGAAGTGTGGAAAATAAATAATACTTTGTCAATTGCTTAAACATATAAAATCAATATTGACACTTCTCTCTCAAAAATTATCACCTGGCACACACCTGTAATTTCAGCAACTCAGGAGGCTAAGGCACAGGATCAGGAGTTCAAAGCCAGCCTCAGTAATTTACCAAGGCCCTAAGCAACTCTAAATAATATATAAAAAAGGGGGATGTGGCTCCATGGTAAAGCATTCTTGGGTTCAATCCCTGGTACCAAAAAAAATTATCATATGACTATAGATATATATGGAGTAGCAAAATAAAAAAAAATAACATTAGAAAATATCATCATGAAATTGGGGTTGACAATGTTTTTGTTTGTTTGTTTGTTTTTTTTTTTAAGAGAGAGAGAATTTCAATATTTATTTTTCAGCGGACACAACATCTTTTGTTTGTATGTGGTGCTTAGGATCGAACCCGGGCCACATGCATGCCAGGCTACTGTACTACCACTTGAGCCATATTCCCCAGCCCCTGACAAAGTTGTTTTTTGATAATGCATAAATAACATGTAGAAGGAACTGACATGCAAATTGGACTTTATTAACGTCAAAAATTTCTGCTTATCACAAGACATTAAGAAAGAAAAAAAGCAAACCATATGGTGTAAAAAGATGTTTACAATACTTATAATATCAATGGCTGAAACAGAATGGATAAATAACACCCTAAAAATCAAGGGGGAAAAACATAAAATCCTAACTGAAAGTAGATCTTAAGTTTTTGAAGAAGTACTTACAAAAAAAATCACATTTAAACTGACAGTCAATAAGTCAATACACAAAAAGACATTCAACCACATTAGTATTATATAAATAAATATTAGACCCCAAATTTTATACTATTAACCAAAGTACCTAAACAGACTGGTAATTCCAAGTGTTGATGAGAATGTGAGCAGATAGATTTTTTTTACATGGCTAATAGGTGTCTAAGTTGGTTTATCATCAACTTTAGGAACTGTAAGGCAGAGCACTTACTAAATTATATATATATATATATATATATATATATATATATATATATATATATATATAATCACTCAGTAATTCTACTCCAAGTTATTTGCACTAAAATACATGGGTTAAAATGTTCATATTAGCAGTATTCATAATAAACCCAAATTTAGGGTATGAATTCACAAATGGGAAGAAGTTCATTCCAGGTGAGGAGGTCCTACAATGCTAATGCACTAAAGATAAAGCATATTGGTGTGTAGAAAGAGTGAGGAACTCACTATTACTTTAGCCACTAAAATGAGTTCAGATCACATAGGCCTAATCTCATGAGGTCAGCATTACTCTGATTAAAAAAAAAAAAAAAGACAACATAAGAAAAAGTAAATAGAACTACAGACCAATATGCCTGATGAACATAGACTCAAAATCTATACAGAAAGTTAATAAATCAAATCCCAAAACAAATAAAAATATAATACATCAACCATATTTGGTTTTATTATTAGAAAGCAAGTTTGGTTTAACATCTGTGCCTAAATGACACAGTTCATCTAATTAACATAATAAAAAACATAAATCCTGTTATTTATCAAAATTTAACATTTTTTCATGACAAAATATCTCAACAAACTAGAAATAAATTTCCTCAATATGGTTAAGTACATTAATGTAAAATGTGCTACTAAAATCATTATCAATGATGAAATACTCAATGCTTTCTTCTTAAAATTAGCAACAAGGCAAAAAGACCTGCTTTCATCATTTTTATTTAAGATTATTTTGGACATTGTAGGCAGTGAAATACAACAGGAAATAAAATAAAATATCTATAGCTGACAGATATACATGTTTATGGGTAAAGACCTACAGACCTACAGGAAAGGAAGAAGTAAAATGGTCCTAATATGTAGATAACCTGATCCACATATAGACATCCATCTGTAGTTTAGTAATAATAATCTAACTTATTCTGCTATATAATTTTTAGTTGTGACTACTGTACAATGCCAGTGTTAGATGCTAACATTAGGATATACTAGGAAAAAGATATATGAGTTGTCTCTGTAACATCACCATGATTTTTCTGTAAATGTAAAATAATCACAGAATATTAAGTGCATTTAAAGTGAAAGCAGTATCATTAGAAATCAAAAAAAAAAAAAAGGAAACTAAAACAT